TGGACCGCCATCGTGGACTCTGTGTGAGACGTGAACCCCCATCGTGGACTCTGTGTGTGAGAGAACTGGACTGCCATTGTGGACTCTGTGTGAGACGTGGACCGCCATCGTGGACTCTGTGTGAGACGTGGACCCCCATCGTGGACTCCGTGTGTGAGAGAACTGGACTCCCATCGTGGACTCTGTGTGAGACGTGGACCCCCATCGTGGACTCTGTGTGTGAGACCATCCAAACAAGCACTCCATGCACAGCTGAGTGATGCTGCTGGTCAGTTTAAATGCCGCTGCCTGCCCTTCTTGCCATCCTCCCCTCCTTCTCCACCACCTGCCATTACCTGAACCCCACTGCCTCCTGAGGCTCCCACTCAGCCTGCAGGCTACTGAGGGACATATGATCTCACACAGAGAATTCTTTAAAATAGCCCAGTAATCAAAGCAAACATGTTGTTACTTGCTGTCGAGTCTGAACCAGCTCACAGCTGACCGTCCAGTGGATTTCTGAAGGCTGTAAATCACATAGCAGGAGATTGCCCATCTTTCTCCCAAAGAATGACTGATAGGTTCGAACTGACAACTTTGAGGTTAGGAGCCAACTATTTTAACCAGTACACCATCAGTGATGGGGGAAAGGGGGAGATGTGTGCATGTTTGGTTTTGGGTATGTTGTTGAAAGAAAGAAGACTTCAGGTTTGGCTGAAAGTTTAGGATTATCTCTACGTCAGGAAGTCATTCACCCGTAATGGATCCAGAAAGTCTGAAATCCACTGAGAAGTTGACAGTCTGAATCTTCCTCTTCTGAATCAAGACTCTTCAGTAGAATCTCTGGCCAGACATTCTGGGAGCCCTCATTCTGGTTACCCAGAAACATCTATTGTCCTCCTCTGGCTGCCCTCCCCCTTGCCAGACAATGGGACTCTCCAGGAACCAGAGGGGGTCAGGGTCACCACTGTGACATCACAGAACCCATGCAAACAGAGGTCCCATGGGGCAAAAGGGACAGAGACGGTGCTGGATAGGGGTAAGAGCTGGGCTGGGCAAGGGCAGGGGAGGCTGTGGGGTACCAGGGAGTCAGGGAAGGCCAGAGGCAGGGGGCGGGCAGGTCCATGACACCCCTGGGTCCCCAGCTTTGCAGGACCGCACTCCTGGCCACCATCCTGATGCTGCTGCTTCGGATAAAGGGGGTGAGGCTTCAAAAAGGGGGTTCAGACCCTGCTGAGAGCAGTCAGAAAGAGATCATGCCTTCCACAGGTGGGTGGAGGGTGGGGGAGTGCAGTAGACAATACCTCCACGGGTGGGTGGCAAAAGGGAGGTAGGGGAGACCATGCTTCCACAGGCAGGTGGGGGAGGGGAAGAAGGGGAGACCATGCCTCCACAGGTGGGCTGGGGAAAGGGAGGAGGCCATGAGGAAGGCAGGGAGAACTGTGTGTGATGGGTTCCAGGGTTACTGTGAGTGGGGTTTGGTGCACTAGCTGAGTTCAAGTACAGCTTTCATGCAGAACTGCATGTGTGCACGTATGTGTGTCTTTGGGGAGTGACCTTGGTGGAGGAGGCTGGGGTCATGGAGGGGTGTGCATGGCAGGAGCCTGGGCAGTCAGTTAGAGGGAAGCCCCAGTGTCCACCTCTGTGTCCAGCCTCATGTCCCTCATGGCACGACCTTGGCAATGGGTGGGTTGCTGTGTCAGGCCCCACTCTCTGCCCAGATCAGGAAGAAGAACAGTTTGAAGAGCACTTCATGGCCTCCTCAGTGGGGGAGGAGGTGTGGCAGCTGCTGGACATGGCCCAGCAGGAGGACCAGGTGGCAGACATGGCGGCAGTGTGGGACCACCTCTTCGACTTGGCCTTCTGCCTGAACCTGGCCAGCATCATGGTTTTTTTATGAGGGACATGGAGGCCGAGATCCTGGCCTGGTTCCTGGATGAGGATTTGGACTTCTACCTTCGCTTCATGATTGCATACTGACCTCTCATCTCGGAGCAGTGCTGAGGTCCCAGGGTCATTGTCCCGGCGGCCATGAGCTGGCCCAACACCACCTAGGGTCAGAGACCCAGGACTGAGCCCCCCACCCCTCCCCCTATGTGGTTTTGCCCAGGAAAGCAGAGCAGGGAGAAGCTAACATGACAGCCAATAAACCTCTGACCACAGTGGGCCACGCACTGACCCTCAGCCCTTCCATCTCCAGCTGGCTGCTGTCCCTGAGACCGACTTACATACCTGCCAGCTATTCAAACCTGCGTCTTCCTCCCCTCCTGTGTGCCAAGCCTTGTTCAGCGCTTCTAGGTGTAGACAGAGGGAGTTCTGGGGGCCTCGTGCGTAAGGAGTTGTACTGCAAACTCAAAGGCATGTGACTCCAATGGGGAAAGATGGGCACTTTCCTCCCATGAGGTCACAGCCTCTGGGGAGCTGCTGGAAGGTGAGCTACGAGTCAGTTCTGACTTGCTGGCACGCAGCAGCAGCTGTTGACAGAGCAGTGGGTTATGTCCTGGCTCCAAGTCAGACTCCTGGCTGTGGTCAGTGCTGGCTCCCTTCGCCGCCCCTCTTGCAGGCTTCTGAGGCCATGAACAGCAGGGGAAGAGGCTGCCCGTCTCTCTCAAGGACCCATTACTGGGTTCTCCCCTGCCACTGAGATGCGGCTTTTGTATTAGCAGCACAAGTCCCTGGGGTCCAGGCCACCAGAGCTCCCCAGCAACGAGATTCAGACCTTAGAAATGCCTCGGGCGGCTCTGTGCTGTAGGACTCGGTCACTGCCACACTGCTGGTGACTCTGAATCTACTCAGCGGCTTGTGGGGATGATTTTGTTTGTTGTCCACTTGACAGTGAATAGGAGCCCTGGTGGCTCAGTGGGTAAAGTGTCTATCTGCTAGCAGAGAGGGTAGCTGGGACCCACCAGCTGCTCCCCAGGAGAGGCCGTGGCATGCACGGCTGTAGATTCAGAGCCGTGGACCTTCTGGGCAGCTGCACTCCACTCAGCCCCTCACGGTGGACACAAGTTGGGATCAAATCAAAGGTGGAGTGTTTTCTTCCCATGTCAGGAAAGCACCATGGACAGATGACCAGATGCCAGGCTGCCTTTAATCGAGGACTGGAATCCAGCAGATGAGTCTGCACTGAGGGGTCTCGGGTAGCAGGTCACCAGAGCTGACAATGGCTGGAGGGGTTCATGAGGGTCCCTTGTGGACAGTGGAAGTACCTAGCAAAGGCCGGGGTGTTGCTGAGCGGCCCGTGGACTCGAAGTGGGGTAGGGCTGTGGTGGTCTTGTGGGTCGTGTCGCTCGGGGTCTTTGCACATCACCTGGAAGGGAGAGTATGCAGGTGAGGAGAGCTGTAGGCTATGAAGGGTTGTGGGGTGAGGTGACCGAGGAGGTAGGGATGAGAGGTATTGAGCACCAGGTGTGGAGGAGGGCAACTTGTTGTTTGTGGGTGACTCAGGAGAGCAGAGGTCTGGAAGAGGGTCCAGGGGAGCAAAACATCACGTGCAGGTGAGAGGACGCTCAGGAGACACTGGGCCATTTGAGGCATGCAAGGGGTTCAGGTTGGGCCTGGATGGTGGGAACAGTCAAGGCCCTCTGTTGCTAAGCAAACAAATGGAATTTACGTTATTTGGAAAAGGACATGATGCTTGGAAAAGGAGATGGTCAGCATAGAGAGACAGACCCCCTCAAGTTGACTGACAAGGCGACTGACAGCGGGTTCTGGTTTATCAGAGATACTGAGCCTGGGACAGGAGAGGGCAACGTTCAGATCTGTTGTTCAGATGAGTAATAGTCTACTTGATGGCACCTAACAACAGCAACAGAAGCCCTTTGGACAGAAAGTCTGCAGACTTGAAGCAACACAAACCCTCTCCTCAGCATCAAGTGCACTGTGAGGTGTGGGGCGTCTGCAGGACAGGGGACAGAGCGCCCTGCTGCATCTCACACAGCGGCTGGGGTGAGGAACTGCTTGGCGGATGGCTTGGTAGCCAAACACTCGATAGTGCCCACTGAGGCACTTTTCCTGGGACCTATTTCTGAAAACCAGCCACCCCAAATCCTGTGGAGGGAGTTGTGTGGCACGCAGGGGGCTCCAGGAGTTCCTAGGCACAGCTGGTCCAGTTCGGCCCAGTGGGGGCCACAGGTGGGAGGTGGCTGCGACAGGAGTGTGTTCCTGGAACAGGAGGAGGAAAGGCAGGCTCCTCTCAAATCGGATCTGGGGGAAATCAGGGTTTTCTTTTTGGTTTGAGGGGCTGGACATGATAGAAAGGAGCCCTGGCGGCCAGTGGGTTGCTAACAGGAAGGTCGGCAGTTCAAGCCCATCAGTGGTTCTGCAGGAACCAGCCAAGGCAGTCTGCTTCTGTAAAGCTCGCTGTTACGTGCTGCCAAGTCGCCTGACTCGTGGTAACTGTAGGAGTAAAAGACCTGAACCCTGCGTCCTGTGCTGCCCTCACCCTCTCTGATGTACTTGAGCCCATTGTCACGGCCACTGTGACAATCCATCTTTGCGAACGTCTTCCTCTCTTCCTCTGACCTGCGACCTTTCCCAGTAAGACGTCCTTTTCCAAGGACTGACCCCGCCCAACAATGTGCCCAAGCATGAGATGAGCGTCACGGTTCTCTCCTTGAAGGAGCACCCTGGCTGCACGTCTCCAAGTCAGGTTGCCTTTTCTGTAGCCCACGGGATATGCAAGATTTTGGAAAACCTGTGGGGTCTTGCCACCCTGTCAGCAGGGTCACTGTGACCAGTGGACTGGGAGGACGTGCATCTGAAGGGGCAGGTGGAGGAGGGCTGACCGCCTTGGGCGTGGTGGCAGGCCCATCCCTTCGGCTTCCTCCATGGCGGTGCACGAGGAAGGAGCTACCTACCTGGCCATAGCTTCGGAAGAACAGCTGCCTCGGGCTGAGGTCCAGTTGGGGCAGGGTGGTCTCCCCACGGTGTTGAAGCAACTTCTGGTTGTAAGCCTGCGTGGGGGAGGAGGAGGGGACATCCCTCAGCCCTCATGGGGAACACCCTGCCTCCTCCTCCCCAGAAGGCACTCCTGGCCACGCCTCAATTCCTACACCTTTCTACACCTGAGCAGGGACCTGCCCGAGGGCAGAAGGGATCCTCTGTGCTCTCATGTAGGGGAAAACGTAGCACAGCGCAGTAGAAGGGACCCTAGGGACAGAACGTGGGTGTGCAGGCTGTGGGAGGTCACCTGCAGTGCAATGGCCAGTGCTCCCAGGTCCATGGCATCCTCCTGAAGGGTGTGCCAGTGGCTGAAGGAGGTCTCTGGGGGCAGGGACCGGGCAGTGGAGTGGCGGGCCAGGCATTGTAGCATCTCCTGCAGGCCGTGGGCATCACAACCTGGGCAGCCTCCGGGGATCACTGTGGGACATGGGGTAGGGGGCACAGTGAGGGTGAAGGGGTGAGGAAGAGCAGTGGTGGGAGGGACGGGGTTGAGAGTCTGGGCACGGTGGTGAGGGCACGGGGTGCCGGGAGCTGGAGAGGGGGAGGAGCAGCAGTGCTGGGTACCAGAACCTTCTATCCCCCAGTCCTCGCCCCCCTGCGCCGGTACCCACAGAGCCTGGAGGCATGCAGGAGCTTGTTGGCCATGATGCTGCCTGTGGCACCGAAGTTCACTGCCCTGGGGAGCAGAGGGTTCTCATCCAAGTGCCCCACCGCAACCCCATTTCCCGCAGGTCCAGCCCCATGTTCCCCCACAGGAGGCTGTACCTGGGATAGCTTGGATGGAAGAATGGGGGCTGCAGGAGCCCAGCCGGGAAGACTACTGTGTGGTCCGATGCAGAGTAGTAGGCGTTGACGCCCCAGGGGGGCTGGTGCCAGCTGTGGGGGAGGGGGATAGCACCCTGAGCGCTGCCTACTGGCAGCCCCCCACTCCTCAAAGTGTCCCTGCCCTTACTCACCAGGACTGGCCTCTCACCTGTGCTGCGGGGAGCGCTGCAGGGAACTCCGGACTGTCCTGGCTCGGTGGGCTCGGACACAGCTCAGGAAGAGCTGCAGGAAGCTGGTGCCCAGCTGGACCTGTGGTGCACACAGGGCACTTGAGTCCTGGGGCAGACAAGAATGCACGTGGGGAGCCCTGACCCCGGGACCCGTAAGCCTGAGGTGAAGCCCACACAGTGACTCGCTGCGCCCTTGCATATGGGCCTCCTATGGTCGCTGACCAGTGACTCCCAGGGTGCACTGAGGGTCTGCAAGGGTTTGCCAGCAGAGGGGCACCCGGGGCATGTCCCGAATTGCGAGTGTAGATGTATGTCCTCACATACACCTGACCCCAAACACTCCCACAGGTAGGTCCCCCTTCATGTGAGTCATGAGGGTTCACTTAGAATCACCCTGGAAACCAGCAGGACTCAGAGGGTCAGGGAGTGAAGGCACACTCACCTCAGGGTACCCCTGTGTGATCACTTCTGGCTCCTGAACCCACTCTGGGGCCCCCATCTTTACCTGCAGCTGCGTGACCTGGAGAGGCACACAGAGGTCAGAACACATGCGCAATGCTTGGACGGTACCTGGGCAGGTGTCTGCTGTCCTGGCTGTGCCCACCTGCCACCTAGGGCTCCAGCCCATCCCATCGCCCTTCCCCCCTCCACCAGGTCCCCCACGCAGCCCTCCCTCTTGGCCTACCCGGTCCGTGGCCTCCTTTCTCGCTCCCTCGCTCATCCAGGGCAACCTCTGGATGCGGTCCAGCCAGGCTTCCCTGATGTCTGAGAAGAGTGCCAAGGCCTGGGGATGAGAGGGAGACTGGATTCTCCTGGGATGCCTGGGTGCAGGGAGGACTCACACAGAAGTGCAAGGGGCTGCTTGCCTGGGGGTTCCAAGGAAAATAGTCCTCTCTTCCTTTTCCAGGGCTGGGGAGCAGTCTCGAGTCACAGGAGAGGGGAGGAGCACACGTCTCTAAGATGTACAGGAAGGAGGCCACTGCCCCCTGCCTCAGGCCAGTTCCACCCTCCTCTGAATGTCTGCCCCTCCTTCATGTCCACTTCCCTCTCTGGACCCCTTCCTGAGAGTCCCAACCTGCTGAGGGTCCAGTCTCGACCCCCAGTGGCTGTCTCCTGCTGTCTCCTGGCATTTGTCCACTCCTGGGGTTGGGAAGGGACTGGCTGTGCGTGCTCACCCTGACTGCCCTTTGTGAGCTGTGTGGCTGGTCAGGGGTTGCGTTTCTGCATCCAAGGCCCTGCTCTGCAAAGCAAGGGCACAGATGATGTGTGTACCTCGGAGCTGGTCAGGATGGAAGGAAGTGTCCCTGTCTAGATCCCAGGCCTCGGGCCCCCTTAGCCCTTGGTGAAAATCACAGGGTACCCTGGCTGTCATGGGGTACGTGAACTTCCTTTTGGGTGGGGGACTGTGAACGCTCGCCACAGTCTGAGTGCAGGTGGACATGAGCTTGGGTGACCTGGCGGTGACAGTACTGCCCCACCCTCTGAGACCCACACCTCCTGAGGCTGGCCCCGTGTCTGCGTCCAGTCAGTGTGTAGTCAGTGGCAGAGTGAGGCTGCAGGAGGGCTTGGGGTGAAGTGAGGGGGTCCACATACAGCTCTCCTGGTCTGCAGGCTAAAGGTCTCTCGGACAAACAGGGCCGCCAGCGTGGGCTGGAAGAAGGTGCTGGTGTCCTCCACACACTTGATCCATCGGGGGGGCAGGGGCTGCAGAGACAGGTTCTCAGGTCTTCACTCAGGCCACCCACTCTCCCCACCCTGAGAGGGGGTCAACCGTCGCTTGGTCTCACCACCCCAGCAAACGGGCAGTTCCGTTTGCCACCCAGTGGAGCCTGTCTCATGGCACAGCTGTTCAAGGGCATGGGCACCATGAAAGGGCATGCCATGCTATGACTTAGAAAACTAGGTAACGTGGATGGGGAAGGGGCCACTGCCGCATTCCTGCGTGACATTCTGAAATGGACAGCAACAGCAAGGCCTGACCCAGTGGGAGAAACATGTGAGATAAAATGGGGGGAAAAATCACAAAAGAGATCAGTCTGGTAGAAATTGATGGAACTAAGACTGTAGCATTTGGCCACCTCGGACTTTGAACAGACCAACCCCACTTGTGCACCTTTCAGCCAAGCAGTAGACCTATAAAGAGAGCAACCTGGACACAGACTGGCTTGAGAAAGTGAAGGAAGCTTGCAGCATTTACTGCAGAAGATCAAAAACTACAGCAGTCAATAAGGATTACATCTCCGCGTCAAGGAAACAGACGCATTCATCACTGGGCCAACTAGCAACACCATGATTGATGGAGAGAAGATGGAAGTTGTCAACAAATTTCATTTTACTTGGATCACAGTCAACACACTTGCCAGCAGCAGTCAATAATCAAAAGGCATGTTGTACTGGGGAGACCTGCTGTGAAGGACTTCTCCAAAGTGCCAACGAGACAAGAGGGCTGACCAACGTGTCCCTGGTTTAAGCCTTGGTATTTTCAATTGCTTCCGCGCATCTGACTTCAATGCCTTTGGATTGTGTTCTAGGCTAAAAGGATTGAAAATCTCATGGACTGCCAGAAACACAAATATATCTGTCTCGAGGAAGTGCAACGAGGGTACTTCTTAGAGGCAGTGACGTTGATATTGCATCTCACGTACTTGGGTGTGTTGTCAGCAGTCATTGATCTGGGAAAGCTGGAAGGTCAGACAAAGCCGGAAGCCCCTCAGAGCGACGGACTGGCACTGTGGCTGTAACTACAGCTCGGGTTTGGTGCAGATGGTGATAGTGGCAGAGGACTGGGCAAATTTCTGAGCTCTTGTTCATGGGGTGATTAGGTGCGTAGTCAACTCAATGGTACAAAACATCATCATACAATGAGCAGTAATACCAGGGGGCACTTTCTCCTGAGAACCATCAGCCAGCTGAGATTCGAAGGGCAGCATGTGTCTGGGGAGAACGCTGAGGAGGCAGGAAGGGAGCGGGAGAAGAAAGCGTGGAAACGGGAGGCCCAGGAGCAGGAATTGTTCTGCGCTGTTCTGTGGACTGGAACCATCACGAAGCACAACATGTATGACTGTTGACGGAAAAGCAGTTTTCTCTGTAAAGGGTCATCCCTGTTCCTCAGACTTGTTCCCTCAAGGCTCTGCTTGTTTCACAGGAGACAGGAAGCACTGCTACACTCTCAGCAGCACTGGGCCTGTTCCGGGGTATGTGGGGGCCTGTGGGGGCTCCCCTAAGAAGGAAACAGAAGCACAGATGATGGCATGAAGGAGTCCGGTGCTGCAGGTGGACTACTGTCCATCGCTAATCCAAAACAGTCGTGGTGGTTCAGTGGTTAAAGCACTTAACCTCTAACCACAAGGTCAGCGGTTCGAATCCACCAAGTGATTTGTGGCAGAAAGAGGTGGCAGTCGGGGTCTATAAAGAGAAGAGGCGTGGGAAGCCTGTGAAGGAACACTACCCCCTCTTATGGGTCCCCTGACAACTGACGCAGCAGCGTGGGGCTTGGTGCTAATCTGGTGTCAGCAGTTTGAACCCACCCCATAGCTCTGCAGCAGGAAGAGCGGTGATGTCCTCCTGTAAAGGTGACAAACAAGAAAACCCCGCGGGGAGTTCTCCTCTGTCCCCTGGTGCCCTGATTCTAGAGGAAGACCAGGGGCTCCTCTTGAGTTTCTTCCAGACGGGCTTTGGCATTTACTGGCTGCCCCCTGCCCTGCAGCGGTCACTCCCTCCTCCATGAGGGGGTTCACCTGTGCAGTAGTCAGAGCTGTGGCTCAAGAAAATCAGAAGCAAGAAAAAGGGACATCTGGGCCCAGCTGCAGTGAGAGCCCATCTAGGCCCTGTGGTCATGTTCAGTCTGCTCCTTTCATGTCTCTCCTCAGAACAGGGACAGGCGCTACCTCCACAGAAGGGTCACCTCCAGCGAAGTCTTCAAGTCTGCTCACGTGACAAGCCCTGCCCTCTACACCTTGCAGGGTGGGAACTGCTTCCTGGTCGAAGGTTTCTTCATTCATCTGCCCTCACCTGCTCCCAGTCTGTTCTCAAACTGCATGGAAGACTCTCCCTGGTTCCAGCAAGAAGGACTGCAGCTGGGTTGCCCAACATAGTTCAGTTCAGCCTCTCCTCTAGGTCAGAGTAGTGCTTGGTGCACGTTCCGAGAACGACTTCTAGGATTGCTAAATGCCCATGGGCCTCGGAGGTGGAGGCTGGTAAGTCATGTGTCCATGCTGGGGCTTCCTGGTACCTGAGCTCTTCCTGGAGCCTGGACAATGGACCAGACCACTTTGATTGGAAAGATAACAAGAATGCTCTCAAAGTAGGAAACAAACAAGGTCTCCAACCACAAGATAATGAGACTCTGTGGATTACTTTAAAGCCGCAAGAATGCAAGTATAACAGAAACTGGGAAAATTCCTGCTCTGGCAGGAAACAAGGATTTTCCCAGGTTTTTTTAGGGTGAGAGGAGCAGATTTTAGAGATTGTAGGCCTGTGATGAGGACAGCCTTGGAACCTGCTGGGGCATCTCTACTCCACCCCAGAGGGTGACTAGGGTTCAGAACCGAGCCACCAGCACACTGCCATAGCAGGGGGTCCCTGCACAAGCTAAGTACAATGAAAGGACACACTTACACCATAACACAAGGACACGCTGCAAGCTTTGTGTGCCACGTCCTGCTCTCTGCATGTGGACTTGACCATGAAGGTCATAAAGGGACAAGACACACTTTCCCCTCTTCTCCACAAGATGACCATGAGCCGGTGCACACCTGAGGGCCCTAACAATAATGACAGATTCCATGAAAGGCCTCTACCTGCCACGGGAACTCACCTGTAGGCAGGCTCACCCTCAAAGGCCACCACACTCCCAACAGTTGCGGAGTGTGATCACCTGGTGCTTGGGGCCCAGTTCAAGCTGCTGCCCCACAAGGATGAGGTCTATTACCTGGTCCTCACAGGAGACTAGACTGGAATTGCCCTGTTATCACTCAGGGAGCCCCCCTCTGCTAACAGGACTCTGAGATCAGCAAGGCATTGCATCAAACTACCCATAAATCCTGGTGAACTTGACAGACCCGTAGACGCTCACACACTGGTGTGGACACAGGGCTGGCTGATCTTTAACTAAAAATCAATTATTAATGTCTTTAAGTTAATATGACCACCCTACTGTAAATTCCTGCAGGTCTCATTTAGCACTCCCTCTCCCTTTTCCTTGTCCTTGGATCTATAGTCAACCCCCCTGGAACCAGCAGTCAAGAGATCAGGAGTCAGAAGAGCATAGGAAAAGTCTGTTGTCTGGGATCTCTCCAAAGTCCTAAAGAACAATGATGTCAGTCTAAAGACTAAGGTGCACCTGCCTGAAACCACAGTCTTTCCAATAACCTACTATGTATCTAAACTCCGGGCAATGAATAAGGACGACAGAAGAACTGATGATGCATTTGCTTTCTGGTATTGGAGAAAAGTGCTGACTATTCCAAGGACTACTAAAAGAATAAACGGAGGTGTGTTAGAGAAAGTGGAAACCGATGATCCTTGGAGGCAAAGGTGATAAAGCTTGATCTCACATATTTTGGACAAGTTGTTAGGAGAGGCTAATCCTTGGAAAAGGTCATCATGCTTGGGAAGATGGAGGGCCGGCGAAGGAGGAGACCCTCAATGAGATGGATTGAACCAGTGTCTGTGGCAGTGTCTGACTCCAGGGGGGTGAGGGGGGTAAGGATGGTGCTGGCTACCCCCTCCTGGGACTCGAAGGCTCTGTCTAAACTGGAGATTAGGGCACTTTGCCACGCCCACCCATCATCAAGTGTGAGGTTGCTTTCACACTACACGACAGTCACGGTTGACACAGAGCACGTGCCACACGGAAACTGAGCCCACTGCTGCGTCCACTCCAGCTTACAGCGACCCTGCAGGGTCAGCGCTTCCGCTGTGGGGTTTCTGAGGATATAAAGCTTTGTGAGAGCTGACTGCCTCAGTGTCCCCTCTCCAAGCAGCTGGTGGGTACAAGCTATCACCCTTGCACTTCTTAGCAGCTCATTTCTTCACCCCCTGCACCGCCAGGGCTCCATCTAGACCACAGAGCCCATGCTGTTCACACCTTGCCCTTTCTGAAGTTTGCTGGCCAGTCCTTGGTCTAGTCTGCCCAGTTCTCGCTGCCCTGTGGTCTCAGCACCAGTTCTCTGAGCTCTATGGTCTTGCGAAAGTTACTTGGTTCTTCTGAGCTTATTTCTGCCTTTGCAGAATGGAAATTCAGAGCCTCATAGTGCTTCTGAGTGGATGAAATAAAAGAATCCACAGTCAGTGCTTCCTGCAGTGCCTGGCATGCCACAGCTCACTGTGTGTCTGTCGTTATTACTACTCCTGGCCATGGTTAGTTCCAACCAGGTAAAGTGGCTTCCCCAGGACCTCCCGATGGTTAGAGGACAGACTCAATGTTGAAGCTGAAGGACAATTCTAGATCTGAGTGGGCCAGGTGATAAGTTAAACCACCTGCAGAATTCTCATCTTCCCTTTGGGAGAGCTGGATTCTCTTTTCAGCTGATACACCTGCTTCGTAGCCAGGTCTACTGGGGAGTGAGGCATTGGGGTGAGGGAGGTGCATGCCGCTGCAATGCTGTTACAGATTGAACTGTGTTGCCTCAAAATGTGGGTCACAAATCCTACACCCGTGTGCAGCCATAAGCCCATTTGGGAACATGGTCTTTGCTATGTGCCAGTGCGCACTCAGATCAATTTCTTTTGGAATCCAGAAAAGCAGAGATGGAAGTTAGGTTCACATGATCTCCCTAAGGATATAAGAAATGGAAGCTGGAATTAGCTGGAGCTGAGAGCCTACAGACAACGAAAGCCCTGAACTTGGACTTCTGGTCTTCAATCTGTGAGATTAAATTGTGTTTGCTAATGCCAGTCACTGTGGCATTTCTGTTCTAGCGTCGGTGGGTAATCAAGGTGGATGCCTGACAGGCATCAGAAGAACTTCCAGACTGAGGCAGACTGGAAGGAAGATCTGGTGATGGACCTTGGAAACCCAGTCAGGGAGCCCGTGGATCACAACAGAACACTGTCAAACGCAGTGCTGGGAGATTGCAAGAGAACATTGTCGAATACAGGGCTGGAAGAAGAGGACTCTGAGGTTTGAAGCCTTACAAAGTACACAATGGCCTCCCCAGCGGACCCAGACACCCTTATAGACACGAGGGATTGTGACAATGTTGTACAAGAAGGCACCCCAAGTCAGAGACGGCTCTCCCACCGTGCGACAATATTCAGCTAAAACCATGGGACAATTGTGGGCCCAAAGCCAAGATGGTGAGGCTCCACCTCACATACGCTGGGTGTGCTATGAGGGGTCCCAGGCTCTGGGAAGGGACTTCTTGCTTGGAAAAGTCGAGAGAACGAGGAAGACCCTCAGTGGGACGGATTAACACAACTGAAGCAACGGCTTGAAGCATGGCCCAGGATGGGGAAGGTTCCACCGGGCTGGGCTTGGGGTCAGTGTGTGTGGCAGCTGACTTGACAGCCTCCAACAACAACAGGGTCCACACATTAACCCCACGAGTTCGACTTTCCACAGGAGCCCAGACCTGCCAGCCTTCCCCTCAGACAACAGACGCCCCCAGCCACCTCCTCACCACAGGCAGCTGCTTCATGAGCTGCATCAGCTTCTCGTTCAGCTCCTGGCGGGCTGCCTGGAACTTGCTGTCCAGGGCAGGAGAGAGGGTGGCCACTAGCCCCAGGATCATGTGGCTCTGCAGGAATTCCCTGTGGAGACACCTCTGGTGAGAGCCTGGAGGGGCCCCTGTTGTCAGGGGTCAGCAGGGCTCCTCAGAGGGTGCGAGCATTGGTGCCCAGACATGTCCACAAACGCCAGGAGCTTCCCCCAGGCCGGGCCTCCCCTGCTTCCCTCCCACACCACCTCCAGAGGCTGGTCCCCCCCACCTCGCTTCCCTCTCATGCCACCTTCAGGAGTCTAACCTGTGTCTCAGCTGCAGGCTTCCCACCAGCTGTGACATGTTTCTCAGATATTCCAGGTCATGGACCATGAGGGGCTGAGAGGGGCTCAGGGGCATCGGTGAGAAGGTCGCTTGCAAGCAGGACAACCAGTCAATGGCGGGGGCTATTTCCTTCAGGAGGGAACACAGGCTGAGGGAGCAGGACATGAGAGGGAGGAGGGGCTGAGGTAGCCCCCAGAGTCTGCGGAGGAAGCATGAGGGACTTGGCTGCTGGAGACAGTGAGGGCACAGAACAAGGCAGAGGAGAGCAAGGAAGAGGGGACGTCAAGGAGGACAGGAGAGAAAGGCAGCAGGGGACGGAGGGCAGGAGGTCATGGAGGCTGAGAGGAAGAGGAGAAGAGGGCCAAGGAGGCTTGGAGGAAGCCCCAGGAGCCCCGCCAGCCCCTCGTCTGGTACCTGCAGCTGAGCAATGGTGACCACCCTCTCCTGCTGCTGCTCCAGGGGCCGCAGGAACTGAAAGAGCCTTGAGGTGATGGAGATGGAGATGCCGGCGTGCTCTTGTACCTTGTCAGGAGACCCTCCCAGCAGGGTCCCCAGCTGGTTCAGGTAGGTCAGGTACTCCCGCACCATCTGGGGGTGGTGGGAACTCAGTCGGGCCAGGCAGTCCTGCCTGCCTCTGGGGGTTCACCATCAGGGCCCTCAGCCTCCCCCGTTACCTGGGCATATATCTTCTGTTCTTGTTCTTGCTTGAGGGGGACATCAAACTTGGGCTGGTCTATCTGGACACAAGAGAGACTGGAGAGCAGAGGAAGGTGGTGGAGGTGGGGGCGGGGTGGAATGGAGAGGGCCTGATGGTGGTCTAACGCAGGGCAGAGGAGTGAGAGGTTAGGGTCTGGACAGAGGGGAGAACCCAGAACATGGGGGGGGCGGGTAAAGGCAGAGGTGGGACAAGGACGAAGCAAGGACAAGATGGGCAGCACTGAGGACCATTACAAAGAGGACAGTGCAGAACACTGAGCTGGACAGAGAAGTGCTTCTCTCCCCCGAGGCACACTCCAGGAGAGGGTCCTACAAGCCCCTGAAGGACAAAGGCCCAGTGGGGGCAGGAGTCACCCTTCACAGGTGCAAAGTAGGGAGCTGCAAAGCCGACAATTTTAATGGGAATTTTTCTGAAAAGAAAACTGAATGCAAAATCCATGATTAGCTAAATGCCAAATTTATGGTTGTCACGAAAATGTCTAAATTCCAAAATAGATTTTTAATCCATTTTTTAAATATTATGAGTTTTAAAAAAAATTTATAATACATTTTAAAATCTGTTTTTTGCTAAGAAAAAAATTTAAAAGATTTGCAAATAAAATTTTTGTATTTTAACTCCTTAAGAATTGACTCATTGGTACATAACAACAATAACAATAACCATTTGGTGGGAAGTCCTGGATACCAGGCACTATGCTGGGATCTGGGGACTAAACTGAGCGAGACATGGGTCTGCTCTTGTAAGATGCCTGGTAAAATGTGAGCTGCAAGGGAGGTGATGTGAGAGAACGGAAGAGCTTCACCTCGCTCATAGCCAAGACACCTCTGAAGACTTCCTGGGAGAGGTAATGGCCAAAGTCAAGGTTTGAAAGACGTGTGAGCACAGTGGGGGAGGCTGAGGAGGGCTGCTGCCATTAAAGGGAGAACCGTGTGCGGAGGAATATTCTTAGCGCTAACTGCATCATCGTGGCTTAGGAGACAGCGGGCGGGGGGGAATGGCTGGTCACAGAGCACTTGCAATGCTTGTCTAAGGAGCCTGGCCTGGATCCTGACAACCTAGGCGACATCAGAGGCATTTACCCACGTCTCGTTGAGAGGTGGGGACTGGTGAAGGTGCCCCAGGCTCACCAGATAAGCAGTAACGAAGCCCAGACGGCTCCATCCCCCAGAACTGGCCCCCCAAGCCCGTCCTTCACTGGGAGTCCCCGGCGGCTCCTCCGTGAAGTGTACATCCATCTTGTTCCCTGACCTGTAAACTCGCTCTAGTGGACGAGAAGCTGGAGTTCAGGAAGGGCCATTCCCTCACCTCAATGACCGGTGTGTATGGAGGGCTATGCCGCGTTCTCAGGGAGGCTCTGAAGAATGGGAAGTGGCCATACTGACTCATCAAAAGGGTCAACGTTCTGTTAAAGTCCATGAAAGTCCAGTTCCCCGAGATCTGCCAGCCTCCAAGCTAGGAAGAAGAGAGGCTGGGCTCAGCGTGGGGAGTGTGTGTGAGTGTGTGTACCTGCGCATGTCCCCGTGACCTTGCTCCTGCTCTTCAGATGATCTACCTGACTTCTGCTGAGTTGACCCCACCAGAATCCACCACTCGTCCTTGATACTCTTTCCTAAGTCAAGTTTCTGATCTGTAGGTGGCACTGCCATTTCCGTCTCCCTCCTAGGACTTGGGGATCCTTAGGAAGAAACCCATCCTATGGAGAAAAGTGACAGCCCTGGACATGCAGTGGTCCTTAGGACTGTGTGCCTGCAGTTGGGGGTCTCACCTCGTCAATAACTTGCCTGAGGGGTCCAGTCCCTGCAGCCTCGATGGCCTCTGTGTCCATGCAGGAGCTGTAGAACTGGAAGGCTTTCTCCTTGCTAGAGCCTGGGGGCCAGGGACTCTGGGTCTCTAGAAAGGAAGCCGGGGTGAAGGTGAGGGGATTGTAGGAGAAGACATTATACTGAGCAGAGAGGGAGGCTAAGAGTCCAGAGTGGAGAGGAAAGAAAGGGGGAATGAGAAATTGGGAGGATTTGGGAAAATGACTGACTGCCCCTTTGGAATAATCAATTTGATAGGAGGGAAAAAAAAAAGAGAAGTGCTAAGGTTTTGGAGAAGAAAACAACACACAAGTGGAGAAAGATAAGAACTGAGATAGGGAGGAGGGATAAAAATAGAAGCCAGAGAGGAGGCAAATTAAGAAAAAAAAGAAGCCAAGAAACCAAAGAATGTTGAAAGACTGGCAAGAGGAAAATTCATACAGATGTTTTTAAAATGGAGAGGCAGGGAAAGTCTCATCAACTCTCAACTCTCCTGATCCAGGAATTGTTGTTAGGTGCCATTGAGTCAACTCATAATGAACCAATGAACAACAGATCTGAACCCTGTCCTATCCTGTGCCATCTTCACACTTCCTGACACATTAGAGCCCATTTCAGCAGTCACTGTGTCAATACACCTGGCCAGGGGTCTTTCTCTCCTTTGTCAGCACTCCACTCTTCCAAGCATCATGGCTCTGTCCAAGGAATGGCCTCTTTCTAGCAACATGTTCACAGGATGTGAGGTGAAGCTTCGTCATCCTGGCCTACAAAGATCACTTCAACTGCACTTTCTCCAAAATATATTCATTTATTCTTTTGGAAGTCAGTGCTCTCCTCCAACACCATAGCTCAAAATCATCAATTCTTCTGTCATTCCTATTCATTGTCCAGCTCTCAGTTTTAAGTGATTTGAAAAACCTGAATCAGATGCACCTTTATCTTCAAACTGACATCAATACTCCTCAATAATTTGGAGAAGACCCTAACTGCAGACTTTGCTAGTGCTATATTGTTATTATATATCACAGAGCAGGAACCAACCCACTGGCTCACCCACTGGCATGTTTTCAGAGGCACCAGAGCTCCCTGTGAACCTATCTACTGATGTCTATTAATTTCCTGACTGCTGGGAAGGACCAACGGTATTAACTGTGGATCCAAGTAAGATGAAGTTGTTGACAGTTTCAATCTCTTCTCCATCCATCATGATGTTGCCTTATCAGTCCAGTGGTGAGAATCTTCTTTATCTTGACCTTGAGATACAATCCACATTGAAGGTTGCATTCCTTGATCCTCTGCAACAAGTGCTTCAAATCTTCCTCCTTTCAGCAAGTAAGGTTGTACCCAGGAGACAAACATCTCAAAATAATTCAATCCATGCCCCCCTTCTACTATCCACACCCTCCTCTTCATTGCCATAATATCTCATTCTGCTCTGGACAATAGAGTTTGTACTGACCATGCCTTTTCTTTTTATCTCGGTGCCTTAACTGGAGCATGGACTGTCACCAACCTAAACCATCAATGGAAACTGCCACCAACTTTTAACAGTCAAAGAGAGAAAAGAAGCTCGATTAATGTATCCTCCCAAGTTTCCGGTTGTGAGCTTTTCTACGCATTCTTGATGTTGACGTGGAACAAAAGTCTTCACAGCTGGGTTAGTAAACAACACCACACTAAATGGAGAAAAGATTGATGTTTCCCAGGATTCCATTGTATTGGCAGCTGTGCTATCATCCCAAGCCCAAACGTGTGAATCCACCAGCTTCTGCGCAGGAGAAAGATGGACACTCTCCTCCCATGACTCTCAAGTTCTAGGTGGGAGATGAAATTGGCGATGCCATCGACACATCAGAACTTTGGGTGAGCAAAAAGGAGGAGGACTAGCAGTGGAGCTTTGTGGGGCCAACTCAGCAGAAGTTAGGCAGTCAGGCTTATTGCTTCTGAAAGTGCACTGGAAGGTAAGCTTTGAGTTGATTCTGACTCAGTGATACATAGTAAAGATCCCATGGAGACAGCAGTGAAGAGATGATGTATTGCATTTGGAAGTTCTGCTGCAAAGGGCCTCTTCAAAGTGCTCTAGAACGTGGAGCCTCTGCGTGGGTTAACATGAGCAACGGTCTGTGTCATCATCATGACCTTTCTCCACACTTACTCAATCTGTTTACTGAGCAAATCATTTGACAAGTAAGAAGATATAAAGAATAACATGGCACCCTGTGGAGGCAGATACAGCAACTACCTGCATTATGAAGATGATTCAATCTTGCTTGCAGAAAGTGAAGAAGATTTGAAGTACTTACTAAAGATCAAGACTACAGCCTTCAATATGGGTTACATCTCAACATCAAGGAAACAAAAGTCCTCAATACTGGTTCAATGGGCAACATCATGATAGAAATAGGAAAGACTGAAGTTGTTAACAACTTCATTTTATTGGACCCATAATCAACGTTCATGGTAGCAGCATTCGGGAAATCAGAAGATGTGTTACATTAAGAAACTTTTCTGTGCAGGACCTTTCCAAAGTACTTCTTTGGCAAGGATGTCCATTTACAAACTAAAGTGTGCTTCATCCAGTCATTGTATTTTTAATTGCTTCCTATGGGTTTGAAAGTTGGACAATGAATAAGGGTGACAAAGAATCCATGCCTTTGAGATATGGTGATGATAAAGAGAACTGAATATTTCATGGACTGTCCAAAACCAAATAAATCTGTCTGGAAGGATTTGATTGATAGCGGAACTTTGTCTTACATATCTTCAAGAGGAACCAGTCCTTACAAGGTGATACCATGTTGGGAAAGGTAGAGGAAGGCCTTCAAAGAGGCAGATTGATGTAGTGACCACCACAGGGGCTTGAGCATGACAGAAACAGTGAAGATGGGACAGGAGAGGGCATCATAGAGATGCTGTGAGTCACAGTGGACTTGATGGAACCTAACAACAAGAATAAGAGTTGGAGGCAAGGCTGGTGCAACTTCATCTCACATACTTTGGACATGTTATCAGGAAGGGCAGTCCTTGGAAAAAGGCATCATGTTGGTCCAGGTAAAGTAGGGTCAGCAAAAGAGCAGAGGCCCCTCAATGAGATAGAATGACACATTAATGTCACAATAGGATCAAGCACATCAGAGCCAGTAAGGATGGCATAGGATAGGGCAGGGTTCCAATCTGTTGTTCACTATTTGCTGTAACTGACTTGATGGCACCTAACAACAAGAACAGGAAGAGCAAAGATGTCACTGTAAGACTAAGGTGTGATCGACCTAAGCCATGCTATTGTCAATTGCTTCATAGGCACAAAAAAGCTCAACAGTGAATAAGGAAGCTCAAAGAAGAATTTGTTCTCTTGAGCTGTGTTTTTGGTTAACATTTCTGAATATATCATGGACTGCCCAAAGGACAAACAAAAATCTGTCTTGGAATGGCAACCAGGATGCTCCTTAAAGCAAGAATAGTGACCCTTCACCTCACATATTATCCAAAGACACAACTTTCTGGAAAAGGGCATCATGCTTGGTAGAGGACCAACAAAATAGAGAAAGCTCTTTAACAAGACAGATGGACCCACAGCTGCTACAATGAGCTCAAGGACAGCAAAGGTTATAGAAGTGTTGCAGGACTGCGCCCTGTTTCTTTCTGTTATTCTGGGTTCACTAGTAGAGAAAGGTTGCTGGCACTTAACTCAAGTTTCCGCTGACTCTGTCAATCCCTTCTGTAAGTCTTCTTAAACAGTGAATGTATACCTACCTTTTATTTTCATATTCCCACCACTATTTGTCAACTTCCTAGGGCATTTTCACAACTCCCTAGATAACCTCCGTTCTGTCCTTTTGTTCTTTCTTCTTAGTCCTCTCTCTGGTCATCATTTTGTACATTTCAGTTTCATGTGAAAGGTCCATCCATCCTTTCTGAGATGTCAACACCATTGCCTTCCTCCCTCTTGCCTCCCATCCCTTCCCCTCCTGTTCTCTCCTCTAAAGCTGATACCTTCAGGATCCAGCTTCATCTCCAAGGTATATAACTTGAGTCTCTTCTTCCAGTATATTCTCTGAATCTGTATTTTCTCTGATTCACCAGCACCTCCAGCACAACCAACACCTTTTATCACTTCTTACCGTACTTCTCCCATATCACCAGCATCCCCAATCATGCATCTTATCACCCTATCTCTTCCTCAGTTGTGTGGCTCAGCCCATGCTTCAGTGAGGAGGTAGATGGCGATTGAAGAATGGAAAGCTGTGAGGTGGTGGATGAAAGAGAATGTGGTAGACGGGGCCCTTGGAGGGTCTGAAGTCTAGAGAATAGAGTGATGAACAAATGCTAGAGGCACTGGGTGGGTGCCAGTGGAGAGGCAGTGGGCCGCGGGGAGCAACTAGAAACTTGTGGGGATAGCAAAGAAGATAGAGCTGGGGTACAGTCTCAGGAAGTAAAAGTGAGAACTTGGAGAGAATGGAAAAGGAAAGAGACAAGGAGATAGTAAAGAGAAGGTGAAGAAAGAAATGGACGTGAGGAGCTGCCTGTGGAGGTGGAACGAACCAGTCAGAGAAGCAGACCTGGTCTTGGTATCTGAGGATCCCCTAGGATAGGGGCCAACTGTCCACACTCACAAGCTGGGAGAGTCTTCACGTCCTAGGCTCAGAGCTGCCTCCTGCCCACTTTCGTTACCCAGAATCCTCCGGGGCCACCTCCTCCTGCCTGTTTTCCTTACCCAGAATCCTCCGAGGCCACCTCCTCCTGCCTGTTTTCCTTACCCAGAATCCTCCGGGGCCACCTCCTTCTCCTGCTTTCCTTACCCAGAATCCTCCGGAGCCAGTTCTTGTTCTCCTCCAAAAGAGCTTGGACAGAGTCCCTGGTCCCTTGTGTGTTTCTGCAGGTGAAGCTGAAGAAGTCAGAGCAGGGGTCCACACTAGTGTTTCCTGAAGCTAGGTACTGGGCCACCAGGTCCTGGCACACGGGGTTGTCACAGTGACCTGTGGAGGGCAAGCACACAGCTGAGACTGATGAGAGAAAAGGATGTGGGCACTCCCCAAGAGGGCAGGTCAGGGAGTGCGCCCAGGGCTGGGGTGAGGTAGGGAGGAGAGAGCAGGGAGATGTCTGATGGTGGCCAGGTCAGAGAGGATGGCAACCTGTGAAGACTAGGGAGGGGTGGGGCTGGCTAGAGCATCTGTGGACTCAGCTGCACAGCTGAGGAGGGCACAGGCTTACGAGGACCACAGCTCCCGAAGACGTAGACCAGGAGCACAGCGGAGGTGACCATCAGGCCGAGAAGCAGGAGTGTCATCAGTGCTCTCCCTGCTATGGCCCACCTGCGCTTCCCTGCAGGGGACAGTCCCTCTGGAAGAGGCCCCTGGGAGAAAGGAGTGGGGTGTGAGGAGAGGGTGCATGAGACCAGGAAGGGGGAGAGTAGAATAAGGGCTCTGCCCTCACACCCATCCCTGGGCCTCAAAGGGCAGGAAGGGACAAGCACACGGAGGCCAGCAGGGTTGTGGGCATGGAAAGGGGGCAACACGGGAAGGATATGAACTGGTGGAGTAAGGGGTGAGTGCAAGGTTCTAGACAGCCCCAGGAGGTAAGACCTGGACTTACCTCCTGGGACGGCCCCATTTCAGAGTCAGGCTCAGCCTTCTAAGGAGGGGAGTCTTCACCTCCTCAACTGAGGATGGAGAGAAGCTGGTTTGGGGCACAGTGCGTCAAAGGAACCTGTCACACATAAGAGTCTGACACCACTGTACCTTCCCATACTCCTTCCCCGTAATCGCCCTAAAACTCACCTTCCTCAGCTCCCACCCACAGCCCCACCCCCACTGTACCCACAGTCCCTCACCTCAGCCTCACCCATAGCCCTTGCCCCAGAATTATCCACAGCCTTTACTCCCTCACCCCCACCTCCCACTCCACTCCCTCCTACCTTAGGCACCTAACTTCAAAGAGAATGATTCTTTTGTGTCTAGTCTCTGTCTGCAGTCTCTCTAGTTCTGTTGAGCTCAGACCCCCCTGGAATCTTCCTGCTTCTGTCTCAGGAAGTGGGCTCCCCTCCACCCTAGTTGGCCCCACAGTCCTGGAGAAGGGGCCAGTCTGCGTGACACACTCCTCTTCTCAGGGTGGAGCCACTATCACTGGAGGACATGCCACTCCTCCTGCTTTATCTGGGCTGTCAGGGGCCAGGGAGGGACACCCCGAGACTCTGCTCATCAAGTCTTCATTTCTGGCAGCCTCTTCTCTCCTTCCTTCTCCTATAGGAGAGAAAGCCTTGCCCACAGAGGTCTCTTGGGCAGAGACCTGCGAGGAGACACTCAGGCTCACCCCTCCTGGCCCTGCACTCTTCCCAGTTGCCCAGGGGCTCTGCTTGAGGGTCTAAGAAGACCAATGACTGTCTCCCAAGGTGCGTGGCAGGAGATCAGGCCCAGTTGTGGGAACAAGGCTAACAACTGCCTCTGTCGAGATCCTCAGGGAACTCAGCGATGACTAGGACTGCGGGGTAGGAGTCAGTGCAGATTAGGGCCAGGATGTGGAGAATCATGGAAGCTGTGAAGACTAGCCTAAATGCCATGCACAGAAGGAAAGAGGGAGTGTGTCTTGGAAGGGTCTTTGTGAAGAAGACGACGTCCTGGAAAGGTTGGTCTGGTGCTGTGGTCTACTCTGCTTGTCAGTAAAGGTAGCTGGGCACCATCCAGCTCTACTGGTCATGGAGGGAATTAGCCACACATTCCATATCCTCCTCTTCCTGACTCCTGCTATTTCTCTATTGCTCCATGCAACATGCAAGTAAGCATCCTTGGATAGCTACTTGCAAGTTTTTAAGACCCACAGGTACTGTGCAGTGAACTAGGTGGCAGGACAGAGTTGTTGCTGTTATGATTGTTAGGTCCTGTGGAGTCAACCAGGACTCATAGCAACCCTATAAACCATGGATCTGAATCCTGCCCAATCCCGCAGCAGCCCCGTAATCTCTGTAATGCTTAATTACGCCTATTGTGGTAATTACTTTGTCAGTACATCTCACTGAGACCCAGCACAATGTCTCTCTCCAATGACTGGTTCCTCATGGAAATACATCCAGCGTGAGATGAAGTTTTAGCAATCTTGTCTCCAAGGAGCACCCTGGTTGCTCTTCCTCCAAGACAGATTTGTTTGTGGGTTTTGGTTTTGTTTTACTTTGTTTTTTGGCAGTTCGTGAGAGATTCAGTACTCTTCTCTAACACCATAATTTAAAGGTATAGATGATTCTTCTGTCATCCTTATTCACTGTCCAACTTTCACATACATAGGAAGGAAGTCATTTAAAAGGCCATGACTTGGATCAGGTGTACCTTAGTTTTTAAACCAGCATCCTCCCTAAAGTAGCACTTGGGAGAGTCCTGGACAGTAGATTACCCCAATGCAACATTTCTTTTGATCTCTTGACGGCTGCTATCATGGATGTTGATTGTGGAGGCAAGTAAAACGAAATCATTGGCAATGGCAATCTTTTCTCCACCAATCTTGATGTTGCCTATTGGTCCAGTTTGAAGATTTAGATTTACTTGATGTTGACATGTAATACATATTGAATGTTGTAGACTTTGATAGTCTGTAAGAAGTGTTTTAAGTCGTTTTTTCACTTTCTGCCTAGAAGGTGAAGAAGGATTAGTAAACACGTAATTAGGTGGTTAACTGTAGTTCTCATGGAACCATGACCCTGAACTTCCAAAACAAGAAAGCAAATCCTATGAAATGTTAATCACAAGCAGATGAAACCTACCTAAACATTCATCAGCAGATAAGTAGATAAGAAAAAGCATATGGCCCATATTTTCAATAAAACACTTCTTAGCCAGTAAGAAAAATGAAGTCTTTGTTCTGAAGCACTTTAAAAAAAAGTGATTTTATCCTACCAACACCAGTCTACATGTTCAATGCAATCCCAATATGCATACCAAATTAATTTTTTTAGGAGATCAAAATGGAAATTGTCCAGTTTATTTGGAGAGGAAAGAGACCCTGAATAAGCAAATCACTGCTGAAAAACAAAAATGAAGTGGGAGACATAGCACTTCCTGATCTCAAAACCTACTACACAGTGGTAGTAACCAAAGTAGCACTGTACTGGTTCAATGACAGGCACACAGACCAATGGAACAGAATCGAGAACCCAGAAATAGACCCAGATAGCTATGGTCAATGAATATTAAACAAGGAAATAAAACCTATGAAGTAGAAAAACGAAAACTTCTTCAACAAATGGTCCTAGCAAAACTAGACTGTTACCAACAGAAAGCTGAAACAGGATCCACATCTCACACCGTACACAAAAATCATTCAACGTGGATCAGAAACCTGGGAGTAAAGCCCAAAACCATAAAGTTAGTAAGAGACAAACTGGGATCAAGCTTAGACAGCCTAGTCTATGGTATAAAGAGACTTCCAAACATGGCCAGAAGTACACAATCTAGAGAGGGGAAAACAATTGATGAATGGGACCTTCTAAAGATTAAACCCTGTGTGCATAAAAAATATTTTCCAACAGAGTGAAAAGAAAACTTACTGACTGGGAAAAAAACATTTTATGATACCCTTTCAGACAAGGGTCTCATATAAAAAGTCTACAAAATCCTACAGGGCCTCCACAAGAAAGAGACTGATAACACAATTACAAAATGGGCAAAAGACATGGAATGAATTTTCACATAGGAAGATATTCGAATGGCCAACGGACACATGGAGAAATGCTCAAAGTCATTGGCAATAAGAGAGATGCAAGTAAAAACCACAATGAGATACCAGCACACTCCAGTGGTACTGGCAAAGTTTAATAGGACAGCAAGTAATAAATGTTAGAGAGGATGTGGAGAGATAGAAACTCTCATACACACTATTGATGGGATTGTAAAATGATACAACCACTCTGGAAGACAGCTTGGTGCTTCCTCAAAAGGCTGAACATAAATTCCATATGACCCAGCTATTCCACTGCTTGGAATACACCCCAAGAGAAGAAAAACTGAGACACAAATGGAGATTTGTACACCAATGTTCATAGCAGTGCTATTCACCATTGCAAGAACATGTAAATAGCCTAAATGTTCAACCATAATAGAATGGATTGAGAAATTATGGTACATTCACATAATGGAATACAATGTAGCATGCAAGAGCAATGATTTTATAAATTACTACCTAACTTGGAAGGGAATGGAGAGCATTATGCTAAGTGAACTAACTCAGTTTCATAAGGACAAATATTGTATATGATCATCTTGCTTTGCCAGCCGTGTGCATTAACTAGAAGATTCCAGCAATCAGGAGCTACCAGAATGTAGTCCTAGAGTAGAAGGTCCAAGACAAAGTCCTTCCTCCTGAATTTTCAGAGTGGTGAAGAGAGTCACAGCTGGCCCCCAGTTACAGATAATCTTGCCACAGGACTAGAGAGGAAAACTATAGGCTGGGTGAATTGTCTTTCTACTCCCTACTAGTGTATTAAGCTTCTCAACTGAAGCTAGTCTCCCCTTAAGTCCATGGATCAGAGAGAAATTCAGGTAGGGTGAGCTGCCCCTCCCTCCTCTGGAGTAGCGAGCTCTCAAGGCAAGATTATGAGAACAAGGTCCCAGTAGGGCCCCAAGCAGGATGAATTTTACATCAGTTATGACACAGAAGAAGCAGGCTACTTTACACATCCAGCACAAAACCAAAGCAAGATGTCACCCAACAAAAGTGATCGAAACACCAAATCAAGAGATTTTATGAAGCCAGAAGGCCTGATAGAACTTTCTGACACAGAATTCAAAGGAACAATGATTTACTATTTTCAGTGGGTGAAAGACAAACTCAAAGAGTTACAGGATTCTACAAGTAAGCCAAGAGGAACTTATAAAAACAAAGACAATGCAGATAAAACAAATGAGGCATTAGAAAATCTAGAAAAACAAGAAACTACAATTTAAAATATGAGGACCACTGTCTAAGATGCTGTCAACATGTTGGAAAAACGTATGAACAGAGTTGAAGAGATGGAACACACAACTAGTGAAATAGAAGATAGAGTTCTCAGCACTGATCTGCTAGAAAAAAAAGCAAAATCAAAAGTGAAGGAAAAAGAATAAAACCTAAGAATAACGTAAGACACCATCAAGAGAAACAACATGCACATAATTAATTGGAATCCCAGAATAGTAAGAAGAAAAAAAAAGACACCCAAAGAGTTGTGGAAGAGTTACTAGAAACTAACTTTCCTGGCATAATGGAGAATACACACACACACACACATAGAGACACACACACACACACACAGAGACACACACACACACACAAAGCTAAGCCCCTTATAGAATAGGTCCCAAAAGAAAAACACCAAGGCATATAATAGTCAAATTTGCCAGAACCAAAGATAAGGAGGGAATTCTGAAAGCAGCTAGAGAAAAACAAAGATTAACCAATAAGGGACAGCAAATAAAATTAAGTGCCAATTTCTCAGCAGAAACCATGAGAGAAAGAAGAAAGTAGAATAACATACACCAAACACTCAAAGAGCACAGCTTTCAACCAAGAATATTGTATCCAGCAAAACTATTTATCAAATATGACAAGAAAGATCAAGCTATTATCAAAAAAGTAGAAATTAAGAGAGT